GGATTTAGGATAGGCCGTATTAAGAAATGGCCGATGTTCAGCCACAACTTCAACAGAAGCCTGATAGCACAGCACAAGATGCCCGTGCTGAGTTTGAGAGGGGGCTCGAGGAGTTGATGCGCGGACATTTGGACGAATGCATGTCATTTGCATCATGCAGTTCAACAACTAGAAACCCAGAGGATGGTGACGATGATGGCGAGCAGCTCGTAAGGAGGAGGAGGAGGTCTGACTTGGAAGGAGATGATCTAGCTGAGTCATCAGCGGCTAGGAGGCGTCATTCTAGGATTCTAAGCAGGTGGGCTGCCAGGCAAGCCCAGGAGATGATCACTACAATGGAGAGGAGGAATCGCGAATCAGAGTTGATGGCGCTTGCTGGCTTGCACACTGTTTCCATGCTCGATTCGTCGTTCTTGAGAGAATCACAGTCTCCCACCTCAAGACGCCACCGGCCTGATGATGAGAGAATTAGCAGCCGAGCATCAAGCATACTACGGATGTGGCGGGAATTGGAGGATGAGCATGTCATGGACCACTCCCAAGATAGGCTCAGGGGGCGAAGACTAACACCACAAAGAAGTGTAGATTCTTCCAATACAATTGCCTCTAGTGTTAATCAGGGAAGTGAGAGTGAGAATGGGTATGGAAATTGGTCTCGTGATCCTATTAGACAGCATAACGTAGTTGGGGAGAATGACAGTTCTAGCCGGGAACAATCTCCTGATCTTGGTGAAGTTGAGAGGGAGAGAGTGAGGCAAATTGTTCGTGGATGGATGGAAAGTGGTATTACCAACCCATCATCTAATGTTTCCCAGAGGAGTGGTGGTGTTCAGAGAGGGGAATGGCTTGGGGAGACTGAGCGTGAAAGGGTTAGGATTGTGAGGGAATGGGTGCAGATGACTAGTCAACAGAGAGGATCGCGCAGTAGGGAAGGACAAGAGAATGGAGTTGGTCAAGCTGATCAGGTTGTTCGTGAGGGGTATGTTATTGACCAAGAGGAAGGTCACCCTGAGCATATTCGGAGGGACATGTTGAGACTGCGCGGAAGACAGGCTCTGGTTGATTTGCTGGTGAGGATTGAGAGTGAAAGACAGAGGGAATTACAAGGACTGCTGGATCGCCGTGCTGTTTCAGACTTTGCCCACCGAAATCGCATTCAGGTTAGTTTATCACAGACTAAATAATATTGGTGTTGTCATCTAGATGTTTTTCTTGAATTAGTAATTAAACTTTGATCTGTTGCAAGAGCTGTGTAAATGATATTTTGGATGTTGGTTCTGGCATTGGAAATATTATATTTCTAGCCATTCCACATTTCCACCTGACTTTTATCTTATATACATTGATCATATAGATCAGCACTGTGTTTAACCCTTTTATGTTTCCATTTAGTCTTGTAGAATCTTGACCTTTTGTCTTTCATATAATTTTATTATACTTTAACCTTTAATCCATATATGTACTATAATTCCTTTCCAGTCATTACTCAGAGGAAGGTTCCTGCGTAGTGAACGGCCTATTGAGGAGGAGAGACAACCTTCACTTGCAGCAAGTGAACTCATTCAGCTGAGGCAACGCCATACTGTTTCTGGAGTAAGGTATCTAGAGTGCTAAATTATGCAGTTATCGTATGTTATAATGAGTTCTTTTTTTGCTGGTTGAAAGTTGTGCTCATTAACCTCGGTGTGTTTGGTTTTTCTTTCTCACCCTCTCCTAGTTTCACCTGGTCCTGAAAAGTCTCCTTTCTTGTTATCCTCTATCTTTATTAGGTGTTCACCAAAAATGAGTTTTTAAAATTTCACCATATGAAGAATAAGATGCTTTTTTATATATCCCACCCATTATGGCAATTATTCAATACAACACCCCTAAAGAAATTCCCAAGGTAAACAAGAATCTGATAGCATTGCAATTCATTTTCTATGTATTTTCTTTGTGTTTGGTTATTTTACTGAATTGAGCCAGTCTACTTGAATTTGTTCCAGGTTAGAGAACATAGTTCGTGGTCAAGTAAGCAGCCACTTTGACTCTTCATCTCACCATACCACCAACAGTAGTTCTAGGAATCAACATGCAAGTCATCCACAGGAAGTTCAAAATGAAAATATTGAAGAACTACAGTTTAGAGACCAGGAAGGCAACACTCATCAGTTGCATGAGCACAGAGAAAGTTCTGAGCTTAGCACATCCGGTCAAAGTACAGGTCAGCAGGTTTATGAAACAGAGGGAGGTAATCAAGGAGATTCTAATTCATACGGGTCTAATATTGGGTGGACTAGTGGGACTGCTGAAAACACAAGCAGAAACTGGGAGGTCGACTCGATTACTGATCGGCCCTTTGAAACAGCAGGGGATGCAATTAGAGATGAACAAACAGAGCCTGAAAACAGAGAAGTTTGGCATGAGCATGACTCAAGAGAAACAGTGGAAAATTGGTCAGTGGGACCTTCTGATCCTCCTAGAATACGGCGCTCTGTTCCACTAAGGAGGTACAATAGATTCCACCCCCCTGAGGATGATAACGTGTACAGTATGGAACTCAGAGAGCTTCTTAGCAGGTAAAACATTTTTTTTAACTTCCAATTTTGGTTTTGACTCTATAGTTCAGATTGGGTCGATGGTCAAATTTATAAGGCATTAATTTTCAATGAAGAATTTGGTCTTAACTTTCCATTATTTTCCGTTAACTTGTGTTGTGTTCATGTTTAGTTTTTAGAAGTATTCATCTATGAGCAACAATGGAGGGTGAAACTGTGAAATCATAATCTACTTTCGTTGTTTTTATAATCTTGTCAATTGTTACTAATAGTAAAGGATCGGATGGAAGTATATTGTAAATATTTTTGTATTCTTATTAAAATTTTGTCTAATTGCAGGAGAAGTGTTTCGAATCTTCTCCGAAGTGGATTCCGGGAGAGTTTGGATCAATTAATTCAGTCTTACGTAGAAAGGCAAACCCATGCACCTATTGATTGGGATCTGCACAGAAACTTGCCTATCCCACCTTCTCCAGATAGAGATCAGGATGAACAGAACGAAGATGTGCATAATAATGTGGATCAAAATGACGGTATAGTCCGGCCTTCGCTTGTACTATCATCTCCTCCTGTTCCTCCACCACAACCTCTCTGGCATCAGGATTTGCATCACTCTGGCTGGTCTCGTCACAATATCCATCGCTCTGAACTAGTAAGACCCTTCACCTCTGCTAGCAGCGCTGTCATAAGGCTTCTCACTTCTGTCCAGCTACCTGAAATTCTGCAGTCCTGAATATTTGGTTCAAACATATTACTATAGTAGTATCTTTGTTCTATATGACGCCCACTCTATATTGCCTAATGAGTAATACTTAGCTGGTTTTACATGATTTTAAATCTAGGATAGGTGGAAGAAGCCTATTATTTGAATAGCTAATTTACTTGCATTGGTGTAAATTTTAATGAAAGTCCGTGGTCTATGGTTCTTCATAAACTTTCATGAATCATATTTTAACGTGCTTTTTTCAAATTGGAGGCAAGTCTAATTATGTTACCTTCTAGTTTATTTGAATAAGTTTAAAATTTAAAATTTAAAATTTATTGTAAGGTCATCTGCCAACCCCCCCTCCCCCTCCCACTTTGTTTTTTGTCTGTTGGTGGCATTTATTATAACCATCGAGACGGGTCTGCTTGCTACTACTACCTCTCTATCTGCATTTTCCCGATGCTTGTTTGAGAATGAGCAAGCATATCATTATAAAACATTCTTTTTTGTGGATGAGCACAGGAGTGGGAGACGATAAATGACCTTAGAGCAGATATGTCAAGATTACAGCAAGGTATGAACCACATGCAGAGGATGCTTGAAGCCTGCATGGATATGCAACTCGAGTTACAGCGCTCTGTCCGCCAGGAAGTTTCTGCAGCTCTGAATCGTTCAGCTGGTAGCGGCCAAGGTTTGTTACCCTCGATACACCCCGACCCCCATCTGTCATGTTTCACTTGAGTTTGCTCATACAAATATGTTAGCAGGGGTTGCAGAGACATCAGTGGATGGGTCAAAATGGGGACATGTGAGAAAAGGTACCTGCTGTGTTTGCTGTGATAACCAAATTGATTCCCTGCTCTACAGGTAGGTTATATTTTACGACATTGGGGAAATTAAAATTAAAATTAAATATTCATACTCAGTGGCAGGCAGAACACTGACTAGCAATGGTATAATATGCAGGTGTGGGCATATGTGCACTTGTTCAAAATGTGCAAATGAATTGGTGAGAACGGCAGGGAAGTGTCCATTATGTCGGGCACCCATTATTGAGGTGATCCGAGCTTACTCTATACTCTAGACAGAGTGATGACTAAAACAACACAAAGAAGTATGTATTGGATGTAAATGTATTGCAAGTTGAAGATTAGAATAGTAAGGAAACATGGAGTTGAGGGGGGTTGTCACTCGCTTTGCTCCTTAGTATCACAAGTGTAGAGCATTTACTTCGCCTGTATTGTTTGTTCTGATTATATGCAGAATGCTTTGCATTTGTAAAGTTGGAAAAACAAAACGGCTTCTTTTCTTCATATAATTCGTTTATAAATAAAAGATCATTTTTTGTTGTGCACTTTATGAAATTTATGCTGTTATATTTGTTTTCAGTTCCACATTGACAGAATGTACTTCTGCAGTTCGATTTTCAATACTCCAGATTCCAGAACTTTTTTTTTTGAACGTCTCCAGATTCCAGAACTTTGAAAGTTATGTTTTATTCTTTGATTTTTTTAGTGTTTTCTCTGAAGAATAAGACTTCTGAAAAAGTTTTGACTTTTGCATTATGAAAAGGGAAAGCAAAATCCCACTCCATCCAACAATGGAATTTTACTTCCTACGTAATGTCTAGTTTCTTCACTCTTTTTTGTCTATTATTCTTATTATATTTAGATTAGATCAAACTAGACCAGAATAAACATTCAAAAGCACACTGCAAAGTGCAAACATCATAATAAATTAGAAAGGTGGACATCCTACAGATCGGAAGATGAAGATAAGTCACATTTTAGACAAAAAGTGATACAGCTCTTACATTTTTCATGTAAAGACCATGTTTTATCGAAAAAGGCAATACAATGAACCATTAATTATTGATTTATTGGGTAATTAGTGTATGTAGAATAATGCTAAAGCAAATAATCAAAGATAACCAAGGGAAAGTAAAATACAAAAAGGAAAAGCTAGAGTAGAATGATTCATACGTGAACAATAATGGAAAATTTAACTACTAGTAGGAGAAGAAAAGGAATCGGCCGCTTGGGCCTGCATCTCATGTTTGATAGCAGCAGCCAAGTGATGATAGGATTCACCCCAAGCTTCTCTCATCTCCTCACTCCAATTCTCCCCCATTGCCTCTTCCGCTGTTCGCAGTAGAGCTTCCTTTACTGCCTACATACCATCATCAACACCTCCTAGATGTGTTATTTGCATATAAATACGAGAAACTGTTAGAAACTGTACTGATAGTTTTTCAGAAAGCTATCGGTACAGTTTTAGACACGCTTCTGGAGTGCACTTGGAGAGTAACATTTTGTTTTTTAGGAACTTCAGTGTAACGTTCAAATGCAACCAAAGGCAAATGAATGATTGAAGGTGGACTATTATTGTTTTATTTTAGTAACAAAGGAGTGTACATGCAAAGAAAGATTAGTTTTCGTATATTGGGAAGTAAAATAATAAATAATACCTCAAAGTGAGGGGCAGTGAGTCCCTTTTCAAGATGAACAGCTCCCAAATGCTTGAGGGTGGTGCCCCCAACCACAACTACACCTTTCTCCCGTAACTGAACCGCAGATTCACAAGTCTGTAAACCCACAATTATAAATGGATAAATCAATAATATATGGCACACATGCAACTTTTTTATTAGGCCTGACATAATTTATTTGTATGAAGTATGGACTTCTAATATTGTGCTACACACAACTAGAGAGAAATGTGCAATTCACCATCAGTGTCCACTTGATCTTCCAAGTGCATTTGTCAAAATATTTGGTCGTATACTCTCTCATTCTCCGGCTCCGACCCGATTATAAAGGCGGGTGAAATCCATGTGATAATCTGTATTCGCCACTCTCCTCTCCATCAAATTCGATCACAAGTACCGTGAGTTCATTTGTTAAATTTTTTGTGTTGATGGATTGAATCGCGAGGCAATGTGATATGATAAAGTCCAATTTTAATAGCCTGTTCGGTAACACTGAATTGGCTGATCGACTTAATTGATGGAATTTTGATTGAATCAATTGAATTGGATAAATATGTTGAAATAAGATAAAATTATATTTTGTTAATACTCCGTAGAATAAAGAAAAATGGCTAAAATAGCATTCAGAGCAACTTCAACGTTGCTTATTTTGGTTGTTAATTTACTTATTTAGGTTGTTAATAATTTGAGAAATTAAAGATTTTGTACGTGTTTGTTAGAAACATTTGCGAATAAGTAACAAATAAATCCTTAATATATTGGTGAATAAATCATTAATATATTTCACGAAAAGTGTTAAATGGAAAAACATAAGTATTCACGATTTACAGCAACCATGTAAATCATTTTGTGAGAAAATATCTTTACAGGAAATCAATTGAGAAAGAAATGAAATGGGAAATGAATTTGGATGAACCGACCAACTTGAAGACTATGACGGCATGAGACTTGAGCTTGGGATTGTTCTGATGAAGAGCATCATCATCACTGTCCTTGAGGAACGAGAACATGTCTTTTGCCTCTGGAGCTATCTCCAGGATTCTGTATGGAATTGCTTATGTCAAATTAAACAAAAACAAGACCGTTCAAATTGGATATGATCGAGACTTGTAGCAACTCACAGGGTAAAGAAACGAAGGCTGAGTTGAGGTATGTTTTGCTTCATCACTTCCCATGAATCCTTCACAAGAGCCTCTTGCTTCTCTGAGATCACCATTTTATCGGCCGTGTTTCGACGGAGTATTTATTCTTCTTAGCTTCTCCTCTCGACGATTCTACTCTCTCTTCTCATCCATCCTAGTTGTCCAATCCGCCGTCAACCGACTTTGATTTTATTCCTTCTGTTTTCATTTTAGTTTTTGTTACAAGTGGGAAAGGTGGTTGGTTGAATCTAATGATCAATCAAATACTCCCTAATCCGTATTACTCCGTATTCTTCTGGGTTATGTCAAATCATTTATTTACATAAATTTATCTTATAGTCATTAAAAAAATGACTGAAACGGCATCTCAATGGGGGCATCCATTCTGCTGCTTCTTTTTTAAAATAGAAACAAAATCATAATCAGTTTTTCAGAAATTGGTCTCTCCCAACTTTGATTAATAATTTCGTACACTTTGAAGCACTTTTACACTTTTACCCACACTCATAATAACTTCTACTTCTTGAAGGAACAGAAATAGTTTTAAAAAGTAGATCAAAACACCTCTTAAACAATTGACTTTTTCAAATGTTGTACAAAATCAGATTGGAACTAGACTAGAAACGGGGGGTGGGTGGGTGGGGGACCAAAACCGAACATTATCCAAAAACAGAAATGCTTGGTGTACACAATTGCACATCTTATGTGTTTACACAGATATAGTTGTTTGTATACAGATAATTCATATTTATTGGAATACAAAAGTTATTTCATGTAGACACACAAGGTGTATCAAAGGTATACACCAAGCATTTTTCATCCAAAAATTACAATCCCACCAACAGGTGACCACATTTGGGACCAAGATAAAGGTCCAGAACCGGACCGGCTGCACCCACCCCAAAATGAAACACACAATTTGGAGTTTTGATGCCCAAACAACAAAAATGGGGCCAACAATTAGGGGTGGATCGGGCCCGGTCCGGTTCCGGTTCGGGCCAGGCCGGTTCCGGTTCATTTTTTTGTGTTTTCTTATTTATTTCAACCCCCCATCCCCCCATACCCCTCGGAAACACCCAGCCCAGTCCACCTAAACCCAGCCCAAACCCAAAAAAAAGAGGTCCGAACCGGGCCCGGACTGATTGGGCCGATTCGCCTTTTTCAGGGCTCGGAACCGGTTACCCCCTCGGGCCGGGCCTAGGCCCGGAACCGATTTCCCGGGCCGGGTACAAACAGTACCGGTCCGGTTGGCCCGGAACCGGTCCACCCCTACCAGCAATGAGTGCATTTGTATCTCTGGGCGTGGTGTTTCCATAGACAGTACTCTTTTTGCAGGAACTTGTTGGCTATTGTGGAAAAATCGGAATAATCTCGTGTTTCAGGGAGAGCTTCAGACCTACGCACACATCCAATATCAAACTAAACAGCTTAGGCAACAGATTCTTGATACTTTGGAGAAGCAAAATCTCGTATTTGGAGGTGGGAGGCGCAAAGAACAACATTTTATCAAATGGAGAGCACCACCAACGGGTTGGACGTGTATCAACACTGATGGCTCAGTCATTCACTCTCCTTCTAGTACAACGGCAGGCGGTATCATAAGGGGAGACGATGGATGCTTCATCAAAGCATTTGCAGTGAATCTGGGAGGAGGCTCAATTACTAGTGCAGAGTTGGTTGGAATTATGCATGGTCTCAAGGTCGCTTGGGAACAAGGGGTTAGGAAGATTATTCTGCAAACAGATTCTTCTGTAGCCAAGCAACTAGTAGAGAATGTCACGACGCACCACCCCCACTTCTCATATGTTGCTGAAATTAGAAGACTCTTAAATCTTCCTTGGGAAGTCCGCATGGAACACGTTTATAGAGAGGCTAATTTTGCTGCAGATTATTTAGCTTCGTTGGGCCACTCACTATCTGTGGGTTTGCATGTTTTCGACTTTCCTGTTGAATCCCTTGGCTATTGGTTGTACTTCGACTTAATTGGGGTTGAAACACCTCGCATTATTAATGGATAAAGGTTGGGGTGCCCTTAGCGCTCCGTTTTCTTAGACCAAAAAAAAAAAGCAATGAGTGCATTTGTAGGCACTCATAATTCATTTCTGGGCTCATTTTGCTGCATAAACCTCTTATCTATTTCAAATGGTTTGATCATGTACATACAGCTATACGAGGAAATGACAAAATGTGGCACATTCAACTGTTCAAGTGAGGTCAGTTTGAAACCGAATCTGAAAACACACACTACACAACCACAATGACAAGTGGGCATATTTACAAAGGTTTATTATATCTAATGTATGTGTGTATGTGACTGTGTATCCATACATATTAGTTCTCCACCTTGCTACTTATTCTTCAGCAGCGAGTTCATCAAGAAACTGTCTAATAATAACACGTTCCCTTTTAGTAAGGTCAGGATCATCAGCTAACAGCCTTTCCCGAATTTCTGCACTTGTGCTGTCTCTGTTATTGTCCAAAACCTGCAAAATAAAGGCGGGTCAGCAATTGGGACATGCTAATGAAGGGACAACCATTATTTCCTTATAATAAAATCCCTACAAATAAGAAAGAGTAAACATGAATGAAGTGCATAAATAAGAATATTTTTGTTTTATCCCTACAAATTAGAATATTTAGTCTTGATTAGGATTTTTTTTGGAACCAATGGTGGTCCTAAACGGGAAAATGTGTTATGTTTTAGGCCTAATCAGGCAATTTGTTCTTTATTTATTAAACATATGTCTGAAGAAGTAATATATGCGGGCTAGTAGAGCACATGAAAACATCTTGTGATAAGCATGCATATCATTGATATGTAAAAGGGGGATAAATGAGACTTCACTTTCACGTAGTTGTTGACATTGCCATCTTTGTTTGGAGAAGTGATTGGCTCAGAGTTATTGCACACCCATTCACCATCAACAATATATTTGTACTCGTAAATTCCTTCCTGTATTTTTTTTAATTGAAGAAAAAGAAATAACCGTTCTTTAAAACAAATATGCAACAATTAACGCTCCACATACTACCATGGTATTATCACTTAAATGATCAATACAGTCGATGACTCAATTCTATTTTAAAAAAGATACTTCATACTCACCGGAAATTCCCTATGGAGAGTCCATGAACCTTGTTCTGCATCATATTCAAGAGGTACTCTCTGGAAAGAATTTCAAAAAGAAGATTTTTTTAGTAGGGAATCATAACTCCACCAGCAGACTTCGATCATTCATCATTTTCATCATTTTCATTTACCCCAATGCCGCAAAGGCTCCCACCTACGGTGGGGTAAGGGGGGGTCGGATGTACGCAGTCTTACCCCTGTACTAAAGCACAGAGAGACTGTTTCCGGATGACCCATAGTAAAAATCGCGTCCAAAATTGCAGACTTCGATAATTGATCATATTACCTGTCCCCAACCAATATCAAGTCCAGAGACTTCCACATTAGAACAATCATCACCACACCACATCAATGTTATTGGATTCTTCCTCAACCCTGTAAGCTTTAGCCAAGGAAGATAGCTGTTTTCAACAAATGGTCAAACAAAAAGTAATAAAACTCTTGGCAATTTGATCTTGACAATACGGCCTAAAAACGATCTCTTTGGGGCTTCTTTATTTGAGCGATTTTGGAGGGGAGGGGTGATTGATTTTTTTTAATAATTTCTCTCCATTTCTTAATCTTATGACCTGTTCACTTCACCTGAAAAAATCTGACCTAATCTGAATTTCTTAAGATCTAGTTTGCTCAGAACCATTCTAATATCTTAGACTAAGAATAGGCAAAGAGAACAATATCTTAGACTAAAGTTACTACCCTTTTGTCCCCTTTTCATTTTCCTCTTTTTGGTATGCATGTTGGCATACATGCCTGAACATTCATGTGAAAGATTGATCTCTTTTTATCTTTGTTAACTATGATTTCATATGTCAGTTCATGTTAGCCGACCACAAACTCTTTGGGGCTAAGGCTTGGATGTTGTTGTGGGGGTATGCAAGAGCATTATCTTCTTATATCCTTTCTAGTCTGTCCTACATTATGCAAAGAGGGAAATAATAATGGAGGGATCAAATGATAGCAAATGGAACTCACAATATCAGCAGTGGCACTTTTTATGGCGTCCAATTTCGGACAGCATGAACGCTTGCTCTGAGAAAAGACACACATATGTTCAGATATTCAAATACATACAAACATAACATATTCTTTCTCAAAATCAGAGGTAAATTGCACCGAAAGAGAAATGTGACTTCCAATTTATTCAATACTTTTGGTTCTGTGGTAGCATGGTTGATTTAAGAAATACATAAACCTAAGAACTTGAAATCCTCTATTGTCAACAAAAAATCTCACCCTTTAAACTTAGATACTATCTTTCATGAGATTTTTTTTCCGCCAAACTATGATACACTTCAAAAGATGATTGAAGCAGAAAAACAAACCACTATTATACACTCACTTTGAGTAAATTGTAAGCTTCATTGAATCCATAACCAAGAACCCAGAACATGTATGCCACCTGAATTTCATATTATCAGAGAGAGAGAAAAAGTTTCTTCTGACTATATTGCAGACAGAACAAATTAAAAGTTTACATATGAGTCCGTTACATATCTTTCACATTTATGAGAGCATTATTTCTTATCATTTAGACATACTTAGTCATTGTTTAAATTCCAGCTCTTGTAATGAAATTCTGTGTGCAGAACTATATTCAAACACTTCCTTTATCTCATTCTATCGTACTAACTACTAACTTTTAAAAATGACTATTGATGAGAAGGATAAAGTACTTTCTAGAACAAAACTAACTATTTCATTTATTTTTATAATTAGTAATTTATTACTCCTTCAATCCCCAAAAAGGAGTTATGCTTGGTAATACTAATCAGGATTAAGTTTAAGACTCTTTTTCAGACGGGCTCACACTTTTTTTTAGTTTTTTAAGAGATTGTTTGGACCGCGGAAAGTAGCAGGGAATTGAGGGGGGAGCTGAGGAAAGTATTTTAGATATATTGAGATTTCTGAGTCTCTTTAAATAGTATAATAGTTATGGAAATTTATGTCTATTATATAAGGACAGAAATCCAAATATTTGTAAACAACAGTATGAAATATTTGGAAACTTCCTTCTCCAACAAAACAAAAAGGGGCCTTATAAAATAACTTCTCTTAGCGCGCGCGCCCTCCCTAGCAATTTCTATGATCCAAATATAACCTAAAGACAATATGAAAAAAACAACGAAAATAGTTCATGGGAGATTTGCATTGCTAGTA